TGATTATCTCAAGACATTGGCAGACATCTTGGAATAAATGGCTCAAGCAGCGCCTCGCTGTTTGCTTTCGTATCAACACAAAAGCTTTGCCTAGCTTCTTTGTGTCGCTTTGGTAATTTTATTTGCGTAGGGAAATGCATATTGCATATTTGGAACGTAATTTGTTCTTCAGATCAATATCGGTCTTGTTTCCTATCATGCAAATATATTCGGCATTGTCTGCGAAGGTGTACACAAGGCTACATAATGCCTTATTGTTTCAATTAAGTGGGCATGTAACAGTGCGCCGTGCCGTCCCATGCAAACCTAATAATCACTAATCGATGGTATGACTCACTGTTCGGCGCCATCAGCAGCACGTGGACCGAGGTAGCGGCATTTCGGCGGCCGCTTACCAAGATAAAACGGAAATAACCCAAGACTTCGGCGGTAAAACAGAACCAATCACGTTCCGGGATGACGCAAAACGATTGTTACAGCAAACAACACTCTCGGCAAAGGGTATTGAGAGCCTCAATGTTCCATTTGGGTATTAAATTTATCTTTAAACTTCGTCTCTACCCCCAAGGAATCGTCACTCGAGAGACGCCATACAAAGACAGCAGAGCTCCGACTCGACACACCACCACTCACAAGGTCTGCCAGGCAACTGACGGAACTGCCACTCGGCCCACTCCTGCTTCACGCTCAGGTGAGGTCGCTCCTAAAATACAGAAATCTCTTTGTGAAAATTCTGCATATCCGGTACAGACATTTCTGGATATCAAGAAAAAACTTTGGTATCAAAAGTTTTAGCGTCTTTGAAAACACAATTTTTTATACTCATTGGATCAGAGATTCTATAAATTTGATTTTGTTTGTTAACTTTAATCATAGTTCCATGTCATGCTTATGCAAAGATCTAAAGACGACTAATACGTTACTAAATTCTTTTGAAGTCTTGTTGGACTAGACTCACTATAGTAATGAAATTCAGTGTATGGCCTACCACACACAATTCTTATATAATAATTGAGTTTGTCTACCATAATTTTCATGAAACTGTCACATAAAACCATTTAGTTTTCATTCTATACACATTGAACGTCCTTTACATCATGCTTGTGAGCAGTGGCTGTCGTAGCACTTCGGTATAGGTATGACGGCAAATGACTGAAATGTTATCAAAATGTCTGGCATTGCCAGTATTTTTACGTTTATAGTTCCTTGTGGAATAAACTTAGACTATTTCACTACAGGACAAGAATTAATATAAATTTTTCAATGATTTGATCATTTTACAACACTTCTCTTTAACTTCACTTTTGTTTGTTTGTCTGCTACAAATCTTATAATCAATATTTAACACACTTATACCTGTCCAATCGATCTGAAATTCTGCACACTTGCGTAAAATTGGAGACAATGCATGAATCAGTTGACAGAATAAATAATTTTAAAATTAAATAATTTTTTCTCAATATTAAGAAAAATTTTAAATTAATTTTGTCTTCTACAAATCTTATAATCCATATTTAACAAATTTCTACCTATTCAATCGATATGAAATTTTGCAAACTTGCATAAAGTCAGAGACTATGTATGATTCAGTTGACAGAATAAATGAATTTGAAAATTTTAACAAATTTTATATATTAAAAAATTTGAACACTACTTTTTTCTATATTTGAAAAAACTTGAAATTATTGTACATGTGTAACATTAACGTCAGAGATACTGGATTCTTTAGAAGTGTTGTCTTTAAAAAAGTAATTTTTAAACGCATATTATTTATACTACTGTCAATAACGCGAGAGTCGACACTGCACTCACTTCGCCAGCTGACAATAAATACACGTGATGCAGGTCAAAAATAATAGTCGTTTCTCATTGAAAAGAAGAAAAATTAAATTTAAATCTTACAAGAAAGTTCCGAACCAATTGTATTACAAAAAAATCGCTTGCATAGTCAGTCGGTTTCACTCAAAAACAAAAACGATTCAAGGGTCGAGAAACGCTCAGGAAAATGAACGAGACCTTCCGTCCAAATATCGATTCACTTTTTGCCTTCGGGTGGGTCATCTTTAACCAATTTGTCCCAGCTGAATGGGATATCGGTGCTACGGCTGCTTTCTGCTCGTGCTGTGGGTGTGAAAGTGTATTGCTATTCGGACAACGAGACACTAATTTTTCTGAGTGAAAAGCATTCCACCGCGCTGTAGTTCAGGTAACATTCTGTCTCTTCCAGCGGGCATTACCAGTGACTATTTATTAAATTTGACAGTTTAAAGTACATGAAGAAAATTAAGATTTTTACATTTACATTTCGCCTCAGCTTAGTCAAATATTATTAGATGAAGGAAAGTGCCTAAAACGAATCAAAATCGCGATTCAAAAAGTTCACCTGACTGTTGAATTCGAGTCGTTCATATTTTGAAAGCAACAAAGCAATCACATTTTATTTGCAAACCATCTTGTTTAACGCTACTACTTAACTCTCATTTATTGCTCATAAATGTTTTGTTGTTGCAAAAAGTATCATTTCGTCCGTCGTTGCTTGAAAACGAAATGTTTGGGCTAAAAAATTTTAATTATTAAATTCTTACTAATTTTATCGATAGAAAATCATTTTTAAATAGTAAAAATTATAATTGAATAGAAACTATACGGTCTCAGCTTAGGCTAAATTAATGTATTTATTCTTCTGTATTTCGACAACTCAGCATCAGATTATGTAGGAAATTAAAGGAGAGATCCTACTTGACATCTAGTAACGGCATACATTTTACCCCGAGTTATCGAAGCGACGGCTAACGTTTTCTATCAGAGTGACCGAAGGATAGCGGGAAGCGTCCGCTACGCAAAGTAGTACGCGGAAGCACATCGATTCTTCCCCTGACCTTCCATTAAGCACTGGACTCGCCTTATTAGGTCATGTGGATCGAGACGATAGACGGAAACTTGCTCTACTATCGCGCTAGCACTCAACTCGTAACGGAACTCTTTCTCGAGTGCAAAAACGTAGCTACACCGAACACAAATCAGCCAGCTCGAAAAAAGTACCTAATTTTTTCTCTTAATTCGTGCGGCAACAATATTTCTTCATTTAACCATCAACTCAAATCCACCTATGACCGAATAAACAATCTATATTTTTTATAGTAAAACATGAGAGTTGCAACATTCGTTCAAGGTTTAACCTTGATCAAAAAGTCATCAAGTAGGCACTAGTCTCCCTCTCAGGAAGCTATTATAATTAGAAAGTGTCTGCGTGACCGGCCCTACAGGACGTGATTGTTGTCGTACGTGATCTTGACGCGGATAAATCTACGGCGGAACAATACGTGCGCGGCGTGGCATACCCGCATGGGCATGAATGAACCGCTCCCTTCTGTGTGGTTTGCCTCAAGGCTACTTTATAATTAGACTGTAAATAAAGAATTAAGTATTGTGGCCGTCGACTTGTTAATTGGACTGTGGATGGAACAATGAGTTGATTGGTTTATTACCTGTTAATTAGGCTATAAATAAACCATTAGGCTCAGATACGATCTCATTGTTTTTAGAATGGATGGAAGCGGCCGGCCAAGAAAGTGTTTCTTCTAACATTTTGCTGCGTCATCCAAATTCAATTATAATCATTCATATCCCAAGCAACTTGAAATCATCAGCGAAAATTCCGAAATTTCTTTTGTTAAACGAAATTTCCTTTTTTACATTTCGTTAGACTTTACTCGTATTTTATCTATGGTATTAAAATTAGGTTATTACTGCTTACTGTAAATAAAAAATCACTTATAAGTGCAACACTTGATTCTTTAATCCGCCCCCGGCCTCTGGTAGGTGGCGGTAAGTAATAGAAATTTGATTCTCATTTTGAACCGCAAATTTAATTAAAAAATATAAAATGTGCGATGTTCTTGAATTTTGAAATGGCAGTAGAATGGAAGTTATTCGCTAAATGTGGGTTGGAACGGACTCTTCCGAAATTGACACATTCCGTAGTTTCAAAATTATTTACTTGATTAGGGAGAATTCCTTTCGAGGCAGTGAATTCCTGAATTTAAAGAATTATATATCCCGGACACCGCCGGGCTAGCTTAATAGTAGTTATACTATAAATATTCTTGAAGATTTAATGAGACATAAGAAAGTTTGTTATTGTGATAGGTTATGATTAGTGTTTCCTAATGGTAAAAACACAGCAAACGTGATAAGTGTGCCACGAGCGCACTTGTGAAGCCCACCCTGTGCACGCGGTATATATGGAACTCTAAGTCGTACTTAACACGACAAGAAGACTTAGAAACGTTCATAGTCTTAGCTGCAACTTAGGCTTCACCGACGATGACTTGCCTTGAGTGATGGTGAATCACCTTCCGACTTCCCGGTGCTTCTCGTTCTTTATTATCTTCAAGGATACATTTATCATTAACAGTAATGTTGTGTGTGGGTTACTCGCATTTGTGCACAACGCAAAACAATCTTACTCATTAATGACGATATATCTTCATATCGAACCTGCTTTTAAAAAGATGATTTTTAAGCGTGTTAAATTGATTTTGAATGACAGTGTTCAAGTTATTGATTATCTGGATTTTCTTCGTTTGGAATGCAATGATTCTACGTAAAAAATTTTCAAAACATTATTTTGAATAGACAAGCGAGTTACTCAATTTTGTTCATTTGATTTACTGAGTTTGCTCGAGGGTTTATATATCAGGTTAGGTCATGAATGATAGCTTCGACCCAGCGGCCAGGATATCGCTAACAGCGTCCAGACAAAAGACGTACAGAAAATAATGAACAAATAATTTTACCAGTGTCGTACGACACTGTTATATAATTATATAATGGTAGACTACAGTTAGAGTCTATAACAGTTAGAGTCTACCATTAGAGTCTACCATGACGAAGAGTCACGTTAGAAACTGGCGAGATGGAGACATCATGCCATGTCGCTGCTGGGAGAAGTGTTATTAGTACAGCCACTTATAGATTTCATGAATGAGTGTACTCACGTGGCCACCGAAAAAGAAATGTCGTCTTGGTACAGTCAGCTGAGGTCATTCTAGAGGAGGCAATGACTGGCGGCGACTGTCTGGTGGGGACGTGTGGGGCATCGTGGGGCGGCACAGTCCACCGCCCTCCCACAGTCTCTGTGGGGAAACATCGTGCATAAGTATTATTGACATGAATTTCAACGCACCGACCTACGACACAACTGAATTTTACAGATGCAACTTAAATTTTACAAGTTTAAAAGTGATCGTGAGTGTAACTTTTAGTTTATCGAGTGTGGAACGAAGATGGAGGACTGAAGTTTCTCTTCGAAAAATGGCCTAGCTAGTTACATTTCATGTGCAACTTGGCGCATTAAAATGATAAATTCATCTTCACATTGAATATCACAGAGCCAATATCACAGCCCAGCTGATGTTATTTCCTGCTGCACATCGCACTGAACATCACTGTTCATCACAGCCAAGCTGCTATTATTTCCTGCGGCACATCACACATCAATTGAACATCAATCAATATGAAGACTAGCAGCGGCGGTCTCCATGCTCACAGGTAATAAGAGCTGCTGACAAGCCCAGCCTCGAATGAACCAAAAATATTAATAAATTTGAAATTATATGCAAATAAATATTTTAAAAAAGCTTGATGACAGATGGTAAAATCAGTGAAATTGATCCTGTTTGTTCAATTGTTTTCTTTACGCTGACAACGCTTTTTTACTTTAAAAATTGAGACATTATGTTTTCATCGGGATTATTCTATATTTGTAGTTTATGCTAGCGCAGGTTCAGAACACAGCTAATTCTGATCAACAGGTTCTGAACACAGCCAGTCCTGTTCAACAGGTTCTGAACACAGCCAGTCTTGATCAACAGGTTCTGAACACGGCCAGTCCTGGTCAACAGGTTCTGAACACAGCCAGTCTTAATAAACAGGTTCTGAACAAAGCTAATCATGATAAACAGGTTGTGAACAAAGCTAATCATCATAAACAGGTTCTGAACAAAGCTAATTCTGGTCGATAGGTTCTAAACAAATGCCAACCCTGGCAAACTGAAAGGCTTGATTTGTCATCAAATCAAGCAGATCTCTTAAATCTAACATGAACGCGCAGCTAGAACTGTGCTGTATGCAGTAGCATAGAAAGCTTGAACTTCGTTAGAACGCACGCTTAAAACTGTGCGTTTTCCTGTAACTCAGCACTTGTACTATCCACAAAACGCAGTCTCAGAACTGCTTTTAATCATGCAACGTAAAATTTATTAGCCTCGTAAGAACGCAGTCTCTTAACTGTGCTGTATCCTGTAACTAAGAACTTAGCATAACGTAACATAACATGTGATCTCGGCGCTGAAGTGTAGGCCTGATGTGGCCTGTCGCCTATTCTTTTTCTTTTCGTGCCTTGTTCACAGAAGATCTAAAATCGTGTCATTTGACCGGATCTTTTCAGGACTGACGATAGTTTGAAGTAGCTACTCGACTTCCACCGGGTTCGATATGGTGCTAGGCATTTCAAATCTGAACATATATTTTTCCATAGCTTTATATAGTCTGATCTTGAACGCGTTCATACTTGGAGCGCCAACGATGTCATCGGGGAGGCTGTTCCTTATATGTCGGTGATTCGAAGCGAGAAGAAATGTTGGAGAGTGGAGAAGTTGCAGCGCAGTTTTTTTAGTTTATAGCCGTGGCCCCTGGTGTTGGTTCTTGTTTCAAAATTTAGTAATCCTTCGGGGACCTTGTATAAACCACCATGAGTATACTTGTATACTTCAATGAGGTCCCCCCGCAGAGGTCGATAACTGAGGCTTGGAAGCTTCATAATCTCTAATCTTTCTTCATATGACTTGCCCTTCATGCAAGCCTGGAATTATCCTTGTTGCACACCTTTGAAAATTCTCTATTAAATTTCTGTCCTTTTCAAATCTCGGTGACCACACAACGTTTCCAAACTCTAGACTCGGGCGTACGACAGCAACAAACAACTGCTTCATCGTTTCTGCATCTAGGAATTCGTAAGAGCATCTAATTAGACCAAGAAGTTTGTTGGATGTATTAGCTATCCTATCAACATGCTTACAAAATTTCAGCTCCTTGTCGACATAAACTCCGAGATCATTTTCCACACTAGACTGTTCAATCATTACTCTCTCATTGCAACCATGTCTTCTCATACTGTAATCTTGCTGTTCATTGTTCTTCCCGAGGTGATGTACTTTACACTTGTCAGCATTAAACCGCAGCTTCAACGTATCAGCCCAGTTAACTAAACTGTCAAGATCATCTTGCAATTGCACTTTATTTGACGCATCCTTAACTGTATTATAAACTTTTGTGTCGTTGGCATACATGGAGCACATGCTGGTTACAGCTTCTGGCCGTTTATAAAAGCAACGAACAAAATAGGCCCAAGAACGCTTCCTTGTGGCACGCCACTGTGCACTGATGCCCAGTCTGACACGGTTCCGTAAATACTGACACGCGTTGTCGTCTATCTACTAGAAAATTTCTGATCCATTGGAGTACGTTTCCCTCAATTCCCAAAAACTTCACTTTACGCAACAGCCGCTCATGCAGAACACTGTCAAATGCTTTGGCAAAATCGAGGTACAATGCATCCACTGGCTCCTTTTCGTCCAGCAGGCGAGTCCAATCGTTCAACGTAGATAATAAGTTAGTGGTGCAGGATCTGCCGGCAATAAAACCATGCTGACAATATGACAGGAGATGATGAGCAGTCAAGTGATCGATAATCCTATCCCTCACAACAGATTCCATCGCCTTACAAAAAATACTTGTCAGACTGACAGGGCAATAGTTACCGGCGGGGCTACTTTTGTCACCTTTTTTTGAACAGTTGTGTTGGGCCTACTTGAGATTCTTTCCAATCGGACGGCAAAGTTCCTTCGTTCAAGGTTTTTTGAAAGAATACTGTCATTGGGCCGGTCAGAACGGTTGCTAATTCTTCGAGCAATCTGGGATGGAAGCCGCCTGGTCAACATGACTTGTTGGGATTTAGAGCTACCAGGCGCTTGAGAACCTCTTCTTCGTGTATTTCAAAGCATGTTAACTTCGAGCCGACTGGGCGCTCCTCAATATCTGGAATACGCTTCAAGTTCTCGTCTGTGAACACACTGCTGAAGAACTGATTAAGAACGTTAGCCTTGCCCTCATCAGAGGAAATCTTTCGTTGGTCTACTTTCAAATAAGATACACCGTCGCTTGTCTTACACTTCGAACTAGCGTACAAAAAGAAGGCTTTCGGATTTTTTTTTTGCATTTTTAGCAATATTTTTTTCGAAGTTTTTCACTGCAGTGCGACAGACTTTCTTAGCTTGATTTCGAGCTCTTGCTTACAGGTTATAATCAGAATGGCAGAACTTGCTTAGGAGGCCTCCTTAGAACTGCGCAGTATTATTTACCTAAGAACTTTCTTATCTCACATGAACGCCATCTTAAAACTTTTCAGTATCATACAACTAATAAGTTTCGAACTTCACAAGAACGTCGTTTCAGAACTGTGCGGCATCCACTGCACGCCGCGGGCCGAGCGTTCCTAAACTCCTGCCAGGAGTGGCGGCTCTATAAGCGTCTGTTTCTTCCTCGTAAATAATACTTGTAAACGCACATGAATTAAATTAACGCCTACTTAAAATATAGTAAAGACGTCAAAAAATATACCGAAAATCAAAATGAAGACATTCAAAGATTCTAACCTGCATTTTGGCGGGTTTGGCTGAGGAATTCAAACGTGGTTGCGACGCTCCGTAGAGTTCCACAACTCACCGAGGTCAGAATAGCACTGACCGTCCGCTGGATTCTGGCATCTGACTCAGAGTTGCCAGATGCTGACGAGAGAAAACGGTCAAATCCGCTCATATAGAGGCCAAAACCGGACACAATTCAATGCTTACTTGTTAATTTTGAATTTGTGGGGTAAAAATTAATGGTTTAGTTTTTTTATACATTGGAAAATAAAATTTATTTCAGGTCATTAAAGAATTTTACCGGCTAACGCAATCAAAATAAAGAAGGCCCAAATAGTAAAATTTGGACGGGAAAGGGCCCATATGGCAATCTTGCTCTCCGCTTGCCTCTTCTCTTTGCAGATATGATGACGCACGTACACACACACGTACATGACACACGACCTCCTTACATCGCAGGACAACTTTGCGTACACGTAACCGTGTGCGGTGTACGGACGTGCATCGATCCGATGAGGGGTCACAGAAAACGGCGGCATGCAATGAAGTTCATTGAATATCTACTGTGTTGCCATCAGTGCTACTGAGAGGCAGTAAAAAAATGGATTAAACCTTACTATATAAATATTAACGCATTTTCTCAACCATAACACTAATTAAGAGCGACCGTAGCACTGACATTCCGTATTGGCGGGTGAACTGGGTGAGGACAACACACACGGGCAGAAAATGCATTGCTGTTTGAACGAAGTCTCTTTTATTTCTCTGAGTGTACGGCTTACCTTTTAGTCTCATGTCTCCCTGAGAGGCCGACAGAGCTGTGATAGGCTGCCGAGCTATTGGTCGTAGTTCGGTATGATGTTAAGTAGTCACTAATGTAATGTTTGGTGGTGTAAGCGTTGAATGGGCTAAATCTGGCATGTCGCTGATTCTATAATCCGCACAGCTTGCCGGCATTTCGAACCCACAACTCACTCCTCCTATCTTGGTATATATTCTGACCTTTAACTACTTGGCCACTCGAATGTTTATATGAAATTATTGGGTGGATAGCTAGAGGTCAGCATAGCCCAAGTCCACAGTGCGATTCATATACCTTCCTGAGCGTAACGCAGCCGGGCATCTACACGGCTTTTGACACAAAGCGCCCACCACAACAGCGCCGTTCAGTCATAGGCCGGAGCGCATACCTGCCGGAGCGCAGCAGGCCCTACCGCAACAGCTACTCCTAACGTAACCTATCCTAACCAAACCTGCGCCGCCTGTTGCGGTAAGGCCTGTTGCGCTCCGGCCAGTTGGGCGCCGGCGCTGTGAAGCAGTGGCTGTGTTGTGCAAAGCGGCGGATTTACTGTTAGCCGGAGCTACCCACAGCTCATTGATCTGAGGCTATGTGTAGATATTGCATGCTGATGGTTGGCGTTGGGCCCAGGGCCTGTTTATGAGTCAATTTTGTTACCCACGGCTGCGCTCCCGAATTATTTGTGATACTATTAGTTTGATGTCGTGCAATTCGAAATTTTCGATGTTTATTGACGTGTTATTTTTGTAGAGCAGGGCCGGCCTCTCGCTCCCTCTCCTTGCATAATGGCCTTTAAATGGCCATCAAGGAAGGTAGCCATAGGAGGCTGTAGGCCTTAGTTTTCTATAGGCCATCAAGGAATGTAGCCATAGGAGGCTGTAGGCCTTAGCCTTCTATAGGCCATCAGGGAAGGTGGATGCCAGGATGGCATCCATTATGGATGACTCAGTCCTCGATGCCAGGACAGCGGATGCAATAATGAATTTTTACTTAGATTTTTGTTGAAGTTTTACTTCGATTTTCTGAACATTTTAAAAGTAATTCCAGTTGATGAGCCCCGCTGGACGTCATAGATAGTTTGATCTCAGACCAGAGAATTCTCCCTCCATCTCTGGCTAGAGAACTCCCCATTTAGCTCAGAGGTTAGAAAAACTCCCCCCACCACTAGCTAGAGAACTCGCCCTCTCGCTTGAGGACTCCACCTTCACCTCTGGCTGGAGTCTCCTCCTCAACTCTGAATAAAAACTCCCCTTTCACTTCCGGTTGGACAACTCCCCCTTCACCTCAGAATTGCGAACTCGAACTGAGAAGCCCCACGGTTTGGTCACCGCGCCACAGCTCTTTCCTCAGAGATAATGCTACAGAGTCTCCCGGCCACAAGAGCCCCTGACCCGCAAGAAAGCTATCAAGCCAATAATAATAATAGAGCGGCTAAGCAATCGTGGGGCCAATCACTCACGGTTTATCAATATAAACCCAATCACAGACAAGAAAGCCGCCTCTACGAGACCAGACCATCCTAAGACTTTGTTTCCATTACAGTGATCGTAAGCTCCAAGATGATCCCAGAGCTAGATCAGCAGTGTTCAAAGAACTCCTTAGGTCCTGCAAGATGTAGCCAAGGGTTAAGAACGTGGCAAAGTTTTCTAGGTTCGAAACTCATCATCGTCTCATCGTAGCAGATCCTGCAGATCTTGTACAAGATCGGCAGCCTTAAAAATATCAGGTCAAATGACAAGATTTTAGATCTTCTGTGAACGAAAAGTTAAAGATTCAATATTTTTTTTTTTTTCAAAAAAAGTTCAAGTCACGAAAAGTTCAAGATTCGGCGACAGGTCACATCAGGCCTACTCTCTAGCGCCGACATCACTATGTTATGTTATGATGGTATCATGGTAGACATGGAACCTGAACTGACAGTCGCGAGTCACCGGCCACCGCGAAGCTTTAACCATCGTTACGAGCTCCCAAGCTGCAGGAAGGTTATAAAAAAGTAGCAATGGACTGAAAAATTATGTGATATTTAATTACGTAATTTCTCATTTGCCCACATATTCTAAATTTTTAGGCGTTTAATTACAAACCAAAACTATTTGGTTTCGACTCTAATTCCCAAAATATTCCAATAGAAGTTATCAATTCCAATAAACTTTATCGATTCAGATTGGCGATGAAACTTTGAAATACATAAATACATTTTTATAACAAGAAACTTTTAGCTCGCGACTACACAACACTTGCAAACTAGGGTAATGCCCGAGAAACATAAATGTCAAGTGACGCCACCCGATAAAAACTGTTAAGCTCAGACTGAGTAGTTACTAGCAACAATTAAGAGGATGACTAAAGTAAAGAAAAAAGGCAAGAAGTTGAGTTCCAATTCTCTACTTTGCCAGAGTAACCCTCTTGGAATTCTAGCTTGGTATTTAAAAAAAAGCTACAAATACAGAGGAGTCGGTGTTGCTGTAGCTGGCCGCAGTTGCCACCTGAACTGCAGCCAAACATGCCACGGACGTGCCGCGCTTGTAAGACAGTCGACTTCAGCAACTAGTACCATAATATTAATTAATTTAAAGCCACCATATCGGCAAGATAATGGACATAGGGTATATAAGGCGGACATCTAGGAGATTTAAAACGAAGAATTTTCATCGCGCGCGCCCGAGCACAACACCAATGTTTACAGAGCGCACAATAAGATATTGATATTTAACTGTAACTACATCAACACATGAGCGCGCTCCTGCATCACTAGGCAATGCCCCAGTGTAACTACATCAACACTCAATAAATGGAGGATGAGAACTTTCTTAGTGTCTGAGCTAACGCCGCGACAATTATTTGCCTTGTATACGGTATTCTGCCTGTCTTAATGATTTGCCACAAAATACGCAGGCGATTATCAATTATATTAATTATTTATAGTGGGAAAAAATACTCTGATTGCCGATGTTGATGTTCGAATACTCTAATTAGAGCACTAACTAGTGTAACTGTCATTACTATAGCCAAACACTTCAACAGAAAACATACATCAGTAAATAACTTTTAATAGATATCAAGTATATACAGTGCTACGAGAAAATTCCTATTGAAGATCTACACCTCGTGATATTTGCCAAGACGGACGTAACCTCCGTTAATATAATCAAGTGTCATTTCAGTTCACAATTAATCACATTGCATTTCGAGAATCAAACGAATTCATGTATCTATGCACGTACTTAATCTTCTTTCATAATAATTAATAAATAATACATAAATCTATGCACATTCCAATCTTGGACGCCTCTTCTTTTCTTTTTGTTGCCTCTCTTTTTTTTCTTTTTGTCGCTTGATTGCTTATTTACAAACCTCGAGTAAGAGGAGAGCATTAGAGCTACTTGGCGTCCGACAGAAGCTAAATGTTAATAAATGTTTCAACTTTCTTCACATAGAGTAACATTGCTAAGCCAGATCGGCCTTCATGTCGTATCTAGATGATCCCAGGTGAAAGTATTCACAAGTGCAGCACGCAACATGCAAGTGCATACCTTGAGAAACTTAAATAAGAAATAATTTTTTATACTAATAATCGTACGTCATTGCAGCTCCCAATAATTGAAACCCCTTCCCACTGTTCCGTAATTTATAGATTCTTCAAGTCTGAGGATTTTGCACATTTTGAATAACAGCAGCTAAACTTCAATAATTTTCATCTCTGGAGAAACTTTAGATGTTGGGACCAATAACGGTGATCGTAGTATTATTGGCGTTTTAATAGACACTTGCGCACGATATTAAAATAAAAGTAGTTTTATTAGATATGCAAGATTTCTATTCTTTCTCGACCTCCATAGCTCCCTCTGGTCATGCAACACAAGCAATATTTTAAAGGGTAATTCTTTATAATCATAAGACGGAATATTTGCAATATTTACAATAGCACAAAAGTGCACATCACGCGCGTGCGATTATTTGAATAACAAGGCTCGAGGAGGGCGAAGTAGTAATAGTAGGTTAACTACCAACTAGTAATAGTATAGGATAACTAGACGTATCCTGAATAAACTAGCAGTCAAGATATCCTTGGTCGGTAACTTGCTGAGAGTCGCGGCTTAGTTATCGGGACTACGATACACTAACTTAAACGCTGACAACTAGAGGGACGAAATTCCAGATGAATTTGACCGATAATTTTTATGTACAACATTTATTCATTTCGGTAAGATTTAATAACCTTGGCGCTTACTTTAGAGTTTAGAATAACCCCAGCGCTTGATTTATAGCGCAATATTCACTAGTGTAACATTCTAAGCCACGCAGGAGATCGATCAATATCGCCACAATTGACTCGTCAAGAAATCCTTCCAGTGTCAACAATGACTAACTTCATCATTTAGCCAAGACATTGTGGACAGCTCTCTCATGTCTCTGATTGCTATTGGCTAAAGTTCGCGATGTTCCGACCAAGGTGGGCACGTGGCGTTGTGTTTATCTAGAAATTTGCAGCAAAAAATATTCCAAGATGATCGACGTAAACTGTGCACATTTACGCAAATTATTTCACTTTCTCTGCCCAGCATTTTTAAGAGGAAAAAATCTCAATAACTCACAAGTATACAGCTTTCATATCCATTGCAAAATTGTAATGCAGCTGCGCGATGTTTACCTCCGCGGAATACCAAGCTGCGTCGCACTAACAAGCGAAATTGGGCGCCGTGCTACATGACATAACTGCAGAGGCACCGCAACGCTACATTTTGATGATATAAACTGTATTAGAGTTACGAAGCTACACTGTGATGACATAAACTGTATAAGAGTTACGAAGCTACACTGTGATGACATAAACTGTATAAGAGTTACGAAGCTACACTGTGATGACATAAACTGTATAAGAGTTACGAAGCTACACTGTGATGACATAAACTGTATAAGAGTTACGAAGCTACACTGTGATGACATAAACTGTATAAGAGTTACGAAGCTACACTGTGATGACATAAACTGTATAAGAGTTACGAAGCTACACTGTGATGACATAAACTGTATAAGAGTTACGAAGCTACACTGTGATGACATAAACTGTATAAGAGTTACGAAGNTAAGACGTCACGACACACACGCCACCCCGTATAAGACGTCACGACACACACTCCACCCTGTGTAAGACGTCACGACACACACGCCACCCTGTGTAAGACGTCACGACACACGCACCACCCTGTGTAAGACGTCACGACACACGCACCATGTTCGCGTGGAGCGCCTTGTGGTGTGGCAGGGCCGTGTACTTGGTGTAGGTGTCGAGGCTGTCGTGCAGCTTGAGCGTCAGACTCTCGTAGTTGGAGCGCACCACGTCCAGCACCTGCGCCTCCGTCAGCGTTGAGATGTTCTGCTCGTGGCTGAAGCGGTCCAGCGCCGGGGAGAAGTGCCCGATGATCGACCTGCAGCAACATGACATGATTATCTTCCATTAAACATGTTCGATGATGGACCTACAGCAAAATGACAATGATTACCTTCCATAAAACATGCCCAATGATGAACCTGCAGCAACATGACATAATGATTACCTTCCAAAAAACATGTTCGATGATGGACCAGCAGCAACATGACATAATGATTACCTTCCAAAAAACATGTTCGATGATGGACCTGCAGCAACATGACATAATGATTACCTTCCAAAAAACATGTTCGATGATGGACCTGCAGCAACATGACATAATGATTGCCTTCCATAAAACATGTTCGATGATGGACCTGCAGCAACATGACATAATGATTACCTTCCAAAAAACATGTTCAATGATGGACCTGCAGCAACATGACATAATGATTGCCTTCCATAAAACATGTTCGATGATGGACCTGCAGCAACACTACATAATGATTGCCTTCCATAAAACATGTTCGATGATGGACCTGCAGCAACTTGACATAATGATTAACTTAAAACATGTTTCTAAATACTAAAATTCTAGAATACTAAAATTCAACCATTAAATAATAGTATACATCACCATGGTTCTACTCTAAGTAAACCGAAAGTAGGAACCGCTCGCACTGACATAGCTATTCAGGAGAGAGGTTCACACTGTACAAGACTGACAAGAAACTGTCCTTCATATCCGTGACCCACCTAATGTTGGCGAGGCTGTTGGTGAGCTGGTGGGCTTGGTCCTTATAGTCGCCGTCAGAGCGGGCGTAGCGGAGGCCCAGGCTGTAGAGGTTCTCGAAGACGATGTGCATGCGCATGATCTCGTAGTAGAGCTCGTCGTAGCACGACGCGCTCGATAGGAAAGTGTCACCGTACGTGATGAACAGGTTGAAGATGTTCACAATCTGGGGTGGAGGATATCACTGAGTGGTATATCAATGAACAAGGAACGTGCATGGACACGTATTTAATTAAATGAACTTATGAACTCCATAATTAATAAACAAATGATGGTAGGCAGTTGTAGCGGCCGAAATAGCGCTTAAATGGCAATATTGATGCAACTGATATCAAGTGAAAGCGTAGCCAATAATACAGCAGTTGTAGAAGACCTGGTAAGCGAGCTGGAAGATATTATGCCGCTTGACGAGCTGCGTCTCGTTGGCTACGATGAATTTAGTGAGGGCGATGAGAGCCGTCCACAGCTCCTTCCAGGCGTAGGGCAACCGCACGGCGTTGCGCTTCTGGTAGCACAGCAGTCTGTGCACGATACCCACGCACTGCATGAACTGCTCCACGGGCAGCTTCTTGAGCATGTGCGACATGGTGAACTCCACCAGCAGATCTGCGGGAAGGAGTACATGCTGAGACATGGTGAACTCCACCAGCAGGTCTGTTCGAGGGAACACATGCTGAGACATGATAAGTTTCTACAAAAGTATAAATGCTGGATCAGGTCACAAGTTTCCACTTACCGTAACAACTGCAATTGGCCGGGTCTCAGAGGCCCACAAAAGCCATGATGCCCACTAATGCCCACATGGCAAGAGGTCGTGCCCTTAGTGCCCACCTATGACGGCACAAGCAAGAGACCGTGCCCGTAGTGCCCACCTATGACGACACAAGCAAGAGGTCGTGCCCGTAGTGCCCACCTATGACGGCACAAGCGAAAGGTCGTGCCCGTAGTGCCCACCTATGACGGCACAATCGAGAGGTCGTGCCCGTAGTGCCCACCTATGACGGCACAAGCAAGAGGTCGTGCGCGGTTCGTGGTGCCGTGTGGAGAAGCGAGTTTGCGGTGTCGCATGGGGAGCCTGTGGAGCTGTACGGCGAACACGAGGTTTGCATCGTGCAGCAGCAGGTTGCTGTACTGGTCCTCACTGATGCAGGTCAGGATTATGAAGCACAGCTGCACGTTCTGGTGGCACTCTTCGCTCTTCGTGTCCTGCATCACGATCGAGCTGCACGAACATGAGAGACAAAGATGATATGTGATGAGAAACTTTGGAGATGAAAGTACACGATTCATTCATTGAGGAAACTGTTCATTGAGTTTGACATAGTGAAAGAACAAATCAATGAGTTTATGGCAAGCTGAGATTGTTCAAGACGTTATCCTCAAGAAAAGCATGTCACTAAATAAGCTAATAAGTACCAGCTGGGCAGCTATTTGCAGGCAGTAAATGTCTCACCACTCACCAGTACTCGAGGAAAGTAACCATGAGGTTCGTAGGCTGAACGTTTGCCTCCAGCAAGAGCTGTAGTTGCTGCTGTTCATAAGAACTGTTCTCTTCCTGACGATCATGAGCAAGGCTGGTGTTGAATGTGTTGTTGTTGATAGTGATTAACTGAGGAGCTGCTTGTTGAGATAGACCTTCTGAGGGGGAAATGGCAGCGGTGTTGGGGCAAGGAACGGACGTGTTGGTGGTTGGCGAGGAGGGCGAGTCTATGGGTGCCTCAGATGTCGAGCTGTGAGTGCTGCTGGTCATGCCTTGAGTGCCTGTTTCTGCCAGCTGTACCTCAGAGGACATTTATTAATAATTAGATCATTTATAGAATGGTTCAGTCACGAGATTCGTAAGCATTTAAATGCATGTCATTTTACCTTCGTGGCTTTCAACAGAACATGGGAGGCTCGGATGCAAGCCACGGCCAAATGGCCTTCTTAATTCTTACAGGTTACTGCCCATCCAATTTCTCATGGCTATTTGGAGAGGAACAGTCCAAGTCCCCTGGAAATTTTTTAAGGAACAGTCCCAGTCTCGTGTGAATTTGGAGGGGAACAGTCCTAGCCTCCTGGCAAGTTGGAGAGGAACAGTCCTCAGTCTCACATAAATTTGGAGAGGAACAGTCTCAGTCTCACGGCAGTTATAGAAACCGAATAGCAAGGGAGTAAGTAGTAGTAGTCTCACCTCGTACTTAAGACAGACAGGATTTCTCACCACATTCTGAGGAGCGGAATGAAGAGACTGTGTGGAGGTGGAGGGACTGGGTGGACTGGAGGCTTCTGTTGCTGCTGTTGTGAGGGCAGTGATGAAGTTCCTGTTCAAGTGCACCGCCTCAAACAGACCCAACAGATACGCATCATTAGCCCTGCAGGAAACAACAGTTGCTAAATAGCAGCCAACAATTACTTGCTGAACAGCTTTCACAAGATTAATTTATTTTAGAAACTATATATATTTATATTCAAAGCTCAAAAAAATTTTCATAAAAAGATTAATCATTTAGGCAAAAATCTTGAAATTTTATACTTGAACATGATTATTTAGACAAAAATTATTTGTTGATATGCAGTAGGAAAATCTAAAATATCCAGGCATTTGCTCAAGCTTTTCTAAGAACCGAGAAACATAACTAAAAGGCCAGACAAAAGTCACAAGAAGTAAACAACAAAATCCTTCTTCTACATGGACATGAAATAAAAGTAAATATTAACAGCAATATTATTATTCACCGCAATATTAAGCCAAAGAAGTGAATAATTATCAAGACTCGATCAGACATTAACCCACTTGATTTGATGAGTGCGGTTGGTGTGCTCATCAGACACAAAAAGTCCCCCCACCATTGACGTGATGGACGCCAGCCACCCTGATGACTGTGCCTCAACCATGGTGGCTGCAAACTTACGGTTGAATGCACTTAACCAGCATCGTATGACCTGCAGCAAATATTACACTTCATCATAAATTGATCACATGAAGTATATGTCATATATATATTAAGTCAATATTTATTAGGAAGAAGTATATGTGACTAGTGTGTACAAGTATATGTGTGTGTATTAAGTACAAGTATATGTGATCAATCAAGTACACCATATATTCAGCTTCTACTTAATTGAGGGAATATAATTGAGGGAATATAATAATCGAGGATTTAAATATATTTATCTCAGACAAACTTTCATGTTCACAAACTTGATGTGGGTAACTTGAAAGTTATTTTTTGGTGCATTATTTGTCTAAACTTTAAACCAACTTTCCTTGAAATAATTTATTAATTGAAAGTGCAACACATTCCTAGGATTTTAAATTTCAAGTAAGATTCAGTCAAAAATTTCTCCTGTTAATAACTTTCTTAAAGCTAAATTTCAAAATACATTTCTGAGAAAGTTATCGTGGGAGCTAAGCATGGCCAATTATCAATATTTTAATGACCTGTCCATATCCATTGAGCACGAGCTCATTGTCAAGCAAGGAGAGCTGCACAGTGTAGGGGTTGACCATCTCATGTGACCGATATTGCACCATCAACAGGATGAACATTACTGCATCACCTCCGTACAGATGGCGAGAGCAGGAGTCCGCTAATAACTGGTAGAGTATGAAATTAAAATTACTTCATTATTTAGGTTCTATATTGTCATTCTGAATGAGAGTACAGATGACAACATTTTGTTACAAGCTGTGAAATTACCCAATTGTTACAAATCATTTATTATGAGTAAAAACCACAGATTTACCATCTCTTCTTAGCACTGTAATAACTAAGCCTATTTTATGGAGTTCCATAGATTATGGCTAGTTAATTTGTATTTCTGCTCAACCAGCATGTAATGAGTAATTTCAGGTAAATAACGCTTAATACTATAAATAGGTACCAGATTTCACAATAAACGTTAACCTGATGTAGACTAGTAGCAACAGTATGAATTAGATTCTTTATGTGAATAAGAAATCTTATTAGCTTAAACTTATGGCTGGAATCAAATCTTGATTGATGAAAAATCAGATGATGAAAATTGGCAGGAAGACTGGGAAGACTCATACATCTGATACATTAACAAAGTTGAAAAAGTCAATAGTAAAAAATTGTGGGTTGATAATTTTTGACAAAATAAATATATTTTGGATGAATTTTTATTGATACTTTTGATAGAAATCTACCTGCATGACTGGGTGAAAGACACAGGTGATGGTGAGGTACTCCAGAAGCGTGTTCTGGTTGATGTCGTCAGTAGCGGTACACAGCACCAGCAGTAGCTTCAATGAGACTCTCTTTAAGCACCCGGGACTTTCTCCTGAAATTAAAGTAGAGATAAACAATACCATCAAACATGCTAATAACGAACGGGTTTGAGAGTTTTTTGTTAATAACTTCTTACCATGAAAAATTTCATAAACAAGTTTGGGCTCATTTTAAAGAACTTTGCAAGGACTAAATGTGTGGCATCTCTGAAAAAATTCCATATGCTATTCGTAAGGTGCTAGACACAATATAATAGCATCTTGAATTACCCCTGAGAATGGGGTAATCTGAGACACTTGAAATAAAACTTAATTTTAAAACATTTGAAGCATGCAAAGTGTAGTACCGTACTCATCCATTACTACAGAGTGCATACTCATTACTCATCCAGCATACAGAGTGATCTCATTTATTACTAACAGTACTCTGAAGTCCTCTCTTCCTTTGTAGATGATGTAGATGTAGAATAAATGACATTTTCTGTGATTTTCACTTGTTTTTCCTCTCTTGATATGATATTACCACATCCATACCTTACTGTATTATTGATGTGATATAACGAAAGATAAAGTAAAACAAGAACTTTGTTATATTTGATAATAGGACCATTTCTAATAAGTAAAAATATTTAAATGGGAAGTTTTTGCATCTAAAACATGGGAAAACAGCCTGCATGATCAGATATACTAAGATTATATAAATAGTGACAAATCTCACTTACCAGTGAGGAACTCGGAAACCTGTAGCAGAAGTTGTCTCATGAGGTCCTCTGCAGCATCAAAGCCAACAAGAATATTTATTACATCACAAGCAGAGCCACTCATTGAGAAGGGAGATGACCCGGGCAACACAGCAGTGGGGCCTCCTCCCTCACACTTCCTGTACACACCTCGGATCAGGCCACACAATGTCTGTTGGGTTCAAAATAGAAATGTCAGTTTATTTTGAGCTCTAAATAATAATGAGGTATTTAGTAATTCTAATGAATTTTGAATGGCTAAAAATATCAATCAGCACATAAATTAGGCACATTTAATGAATAAGAGAACAGTTAAGCTCTAATAATAATAACTTATATCCTAAAAATTTACAATTAAAGATAGGTACTTACAAGCATTGCATTGATGGAGCGAATGGTGTGTGAGGGTTGCAGGGCATTATTCAGTGTGCCCACACACTCAGCAAACAAACCATTTAAATTAGGCTTCAGAGCTGCCAACTGCTCCACACTTAATCTATTTATTTCTCCCTCCAGTGCTGATAGTTTTGGCTGAAAAAAATTTAATTCCATCAATTGCAATCAATTAATTATTTGGAATAATTGTTAATTCACTAGAACTTAGCATTAGAACTCCAGTTTATTTCATTGTTCAAGTTTTTTAGGCAAATGTTAAAAATTTATATTTCTGCTCAGAATCTACACTTACTCTGAGAAGAAAAAAGTCCTCCCAAAATCGAGATGCAGGAGACTTGTTGGGCAGAGAAGGAGTACCCATACTTGGGCTAAAGGAGGGATGAATGGCTGGATGTAGGAGTTCTTCATACATCTGCACAACTTTCTCCTTCAGCTGCCCACGGCGGACACCCCCTCCTTTAAGTTTACTAGACATGCTCGACATTGTTGTCATTTTTATTCAATGTGATGTTTTAGAACTTCTTTGAGACAATATCAATGATCTCACAACTTCTAATTAAAAGGCCAGGTGAAAGTAAGCAGGGAAATTATATATTATTTTTTCATGTACCAAAATATACTGACTTCCATAACATTAATCTTCTACATTGGACAATGCATCTGCTTACTAGTTAAAATTTGCTCTAAAAATAGTGTTAAAACATTTCTAATACATAAAGCATTTCTGTTGATAAAATCAATTGTTGCTTTGTTATCTTAGCAGATTGTGTTATATGGGCCCAGTATGCAGCAGTTTTTTCAGTTCTGTGGGAAAAATTAAGTTAACTTCAATGGAATTAACAAATTCTGTGGTATGATTTAAATACTCCCTTCAAATCATCTATGCTGAAGCCCAATTTGACTGAGGTATGAAAATTGAGTAAGTCTGCCAGGCAAGCTGGAATTCCACTATAATGCATAAAGCTTGTCATTTTTTGGGCATTGAATTCTCAATATTTCCAGACTGGGATTGGCTTGGTTGTGATGTCATCCACTCCAGACTGTAATTGGTTGATGGGATTGTGATGTCATCCTCTTCAGACTGTGATTTGTTGTGAGATTGTGATGTCATCCTCTCCAGACTGTGATTGGTTCTGGTTGTGCTCTGGTTAATTTAATACCTCTCTAGAATTCCAGGCTGCTGTCTGGGAAGCAAAATTTCCAATTGGGAAAGATGGTTTATTCATTAACAAAATTGTACCTCGTCTCTCTAGCCCAAATTGAAATAGCTTTGCCATCACCATGTGGTTATCTGACAGTATTATTTGTTTTTGTAGTGATAAGCAGCAAGGTAAATGCTGTCTCTACTGGCTGCTGGTGGCAACTTATGTGGCATTGACAGCAAGATAATTTTCTTACTTATCACTGAAATCTTACTTCTCCTAATTGACAAATGTGCAATATATTTGGAATCTTGTGGCCTAATTGTGTACTTTTGTTAACAATATGATAGGAGATAATTCATCTATCAGAAATCTTGTGGACACAAAAATGGCAGGACAACTCTAGTTGTGGCCTTTAAGGTAGATAATAGATAGATACATTTCACGCCTTATTGAAGGTAGGGCTTTCTTCAGTTTCCTTGAAAGTAGGTATAAGTATTCCATGACTTCTTATTTAATTTTTCTTCATAAAAAATGATAATAACACATTTTTGCCTGTAATATAAAGAAATGCCTATATACGGTAACAATAGTGTTTGCTACCTATACTGTTAGAAAAATTTTGCTTTTACCATATATCATTTTCAAAAATTAGTCAAGAGCTGTATGTGAATGAGAAAAAAACACCCTTGCTTGCATTCAATTAAACCTGTTTTAAACCTGTTTGTTTGCCCTTTCCTAATTTCTTCTTTAAAAATATATTTTGAAAAAAATTAAGAATGTTAGGTCTTGTCCTTATTTCTTAATCATCACTTGGAAAATGATAGTTTTTACATGCAATTTCAGGAAAATTCTGCCTGATATTCCAGATTGAGCCCAATGCCCCAATATTATAGCTTCTACTAAGGTTGCAGACATGAGTCTTAAGGTATAGGAATAATTAAAAGGATCAAATATATTAATTCAAGTTTTATTCAATCTCATAATATGTTTCATCTCTATAGTTTATGATTAATGATGCAGTGATGCAAAGAGTACTGTACAGTATAGTATACCTTGCTACCACTACCAATAACCAATTTTGAATATTGTCATGGGCAAAATTTCCTGAAACTGCATTTAAAATTGATTGTTTTGCAAGTGATTCTAAAAAATTGCTGTTAAAAAAATAGGCATTTTTTATTATTTCATACTGAAATGAAGAGTGAAGAAATTGGAAAAAGGCCATAAATTAATAATGGGTTAAATAGGCAAGATTCATTGGCATTTCCGTCTAATTTATGGGTGGCTTTGTCCCACTTTTACAGTTTGGAATTATTGGGCATCAAACAGCCAATATGTTGAAACAATTGCCACATAAGTTGTCATTCAGCAGAAACTGAACATGTCTCACTGCTTATAACTAATTCATCTAAAAACTATATAATAGTGGTCAGTATGGTGAAATAATATAGGTAATATAAAAGTATATGCTATTTAGAGATTTCAAACCAACCAATGCTTTTTCCGGACCATTCCAGTCATTCCACAACACAAAGGCACAGTAGCACCTTCCCTCAGAAGACCCACCAGCGCACAGAATAAACAAAAGGACAGCATCAGCCAACAGCCCAACAACAACAACAACAGTTCAACAGACAAAAATGTGAACATTGTCAAAATAAATCAACTCACTCCAAGTCAGGTTTTGAGACATTAAATGCCTAATAAATATTGCAACTTTATGTTTTAATATTTATGTTTTCATTGAGAGACTACTTGTTGACTAAATTTTATTTTGGTTAACTTCTCTTATCATATATATTTGTAGAATAAATTTTATTTTGGTTATAAATGTCACTCAAAAAAATCAGTCAGTCCAGCTGGTCCATGTGAAAAGTAAATTTACAAAGTCACTTGACATTGATTGCTAATTTCGCTCAGTAGATATGTGTTCATGCTAAGAATTTATCAAAAAAGTTGTATACCCGTATTTTCGTGCTTTGTTCATGAAATTCATCACTTTAATTAAAATTTTCAAGGTAAACTTATAAAGTCATCATGAGAATTCTCCATGACAATTCTGTCTCAATGACGTTTTTAGGAAAAAGTTTTCTCTGAATGGCAGCCAGGAGAAAAAGAAAAAATTTATGAAAAGTAATATTCATTCTACTAAAAGTAGAATGAAATTAGTAATATAGAATTAATTTTATATGTTGATATTCAATAAATATAATCATTAATTATTCAATATTACAAAATTTAAAAAGAAGGGAAGCAAATTTCAAGTCTAGACCCAGCAGGCAGGAGGCATCTGACATTGAAACAATGTTGATTAATTATTGGTTGATTTCAGGTTAAAATGTTGAATAGCCAAAATTAAACATCATATCAACATCAAAATCTGTCCAACACTAGGAGGGACGTATAACAATTTTATTTCAATGTTGAAATAACATCAATATTGGTATGTAAAATTTTTACTAATTTTTAAATGTTGATTTCAGGTTGAAATGCTAAACAACCAAATTAAACGTCTGACCAACGTCTGAGTCTGTCCAAAACTAGAAAGGACTTAAAACAACCTTATTTCAAGGTTAAAAAATGGTCAATATTGGTATGTTGGAAGCTTAGTTATTTACCAGCATGGAACTTATGTTATCACACCAACAAACATTGAATGATATACATAATACATATATATAAGAGTACAATTGATGACCAGAGAATGCATTACAATTTTCAAGGAGTCAAACAATTCTTCAGCTTCTTTTTATTGCTCATACACGTGAGCTACGGTCAGCTACCATGGTCAAGGTTGCAGCTAAGGTGTCATGCAATCTCCAGCAATCCTGGGTTTGAATCCTGCTACATTAAAAAAAAGTTGGTTCTTCAATGTTCAATCAACCAGAGAATTCAATGTTGCATTAGCCATAGCAACATTGATTCAACTTTGCATTGTAACATCAGTACGAGTGTTATGAAGTGTATGACCTTTCAGGCTTTCATGATGATGAAGGATGTTGCTGCAATTTTCATTCCACATTTTCACCCTGAGCTGATTCCAATGTCGTAATAGTATGATTGTGCAGCCAACATTTGTTCCAGTTCTAGTTGACCAACTTGACCTGATTACCTGAATCTTGTCATGGACTAATCTTAGCAGCCATAGTCAGGAAGGTGCAGCATGTACGCCGGAGGTTCGTTTTGGGATGTACGCCAGTACGCCAGGGAAGAAAGTTGCCAATATGCTTGCTAAAAATGGAAGTTTAACCCTCGCCAATGCTGCATGATCAACACAGGCACACGTACTTTACGATTGATGCCTGGCGATCGTCACAAACACATGTGCTTTACGATCTATATAGCCGATGCCCAATGATCAACACTGATGCGCGCTCTTTGCGATCAAAGTGGCCGATGCCTAATGATCGACACAAGCGCGCGCGATTTACGATCGTTTTGGCCGATGCCTAATGATCGACACAAGCGCACGCGATTTACGATCGTTTT